CATAAATTATATGATTATATACATACTTGAGACTTATAAGTCTAAAAAATATTGATATGGAATATTTGTTTCACCTCAACACTCATATTGGAGTGCTATGCCGAATAATTAAAAAGACGCCATTTCCTCCCACACGAAAATTTGTGAGCTGATTTTAAATATAATACTGTGATAAATAAAAAGAATCAGCTAGCAATAAGTCGAGGGAAACCTGGTCAGCTAATGCCTTTAAATAGTCAGTAAATGCTTCTGGCTAACTTCTACGTAACGACCTTCAAAGTATCAGCTGACGATTTTTCCACCGAGATACAGCCAGCTGACGTATATATTTATCAATAGTTACACATAAGCTATCATCTGGTAAATTTTTAGCCGAGAGGAAATGACTGAATTTTTTTTTTTTCTTCAAGCGTGGGAGGTTACTACTGCTAATTCCCCCCACCGAGCCTCAGCTGACATTCACGAGGCTTTATAGTTCGATTTTCTGATGCGTTTTACTAATTATCACTTGAGAGGAACTTGGTCATATAAATCTGTTACTGGCTCTCGGGCTATTTGACTTTGGTTGGTTTAGCTTGTCTACCATACAATGATACACTCTATATAGCGTCACATCCACTCTCAATAGCGACAAAATTAAGTAATAAAAAGTACCCTTAAGTTGCTAAAATTAGTAAAAAATGCGCAGCTGTGTACGTTTTTTTGTCGCTTTGTTATCCTAGCCCGCAATAAACTCCACTGTCGTAATCATGCATACCAAACTTTCTAATAAATTCGTTCTTCACCAATATACCTCAATATCGCAAGATATGAATAAAATACGTAAAAAATACAACAACATTACTGGTGCAGCAAAACACGTCAAACAAAAACAACAGACTTTATAACATTCTTTTTTATGTACATAAGTACTAACAGTAGTCTGAAACAAACTTTGTCTTTTTCTAATTCTGATTTTTCTTCCCTCTATTTAACGGCAACTCTCTATAACGCACAAAAATGCACGGTCCCTTCAGTGTCGTTATATAGAGTTTACACTGTATTTTCAATTCAATGAATGAAACTGAATAAATTACACCTACAGAAACAATGGAATGGAAGATTACTATAAAGAAAAATGATAAATATCATACTTAAAAGAGTAGCGCCTTAGTAAAATACGTAGGCATATCTTATTTATTCGGTTCGATAGCTTTGATCTCCGACCTTCTAAAAAAATGTAATTCAATATTCACAGAATATGTTTAAATAAATGGTCTTGGCCTTATCACATTTACTATGTATGTTATAATATAAACCAACTCCTACTTAAGAGATAACAAAAAATTCTTATTAATGGAATTTTTTTATGATAAAAATAAGATGATTTTATAAATTACTCACACGAATCGGTTTCGTCATTATTTATTTTCCTATAAACATAAATAATATTGGAGGGTCTGTTTGTAATATTGAAATAACCGTTTTTTACTACGTGCATATGAATATACGTACATACATAAAAACAACAATTTTGTTACAATTTTTGTCGTCTGTCTGTTTGTTCCTGCTAATCTCTAAAATTACTGGACCGGTTTTGAAGGACCTTTTATTGGTACTGGCTAATGTAATAGGGAATACTTTTTATCCCAATGCCAAATTTAGGCGTTATCACGCTCGAGTGGGAGACGGAGCGCATGCGACGCATGCGACACAGACGGAGAAGCACACAAAAGCTAGTATTATTATTATTGCTTCTGAATTTTACGTCATGCTTTGCGTAGTCAAATTGACTACGTGTATAGATTCATTTTGTACGAATATAAAGACGAATCTTAGATAGTTTAAAACATTGTTAATTGGTTTAAAGCTGCTCAAGTTTTTTATTAATTAATTTAATCTTATTTTTGTGTAACAATTAAATCTATTTTGTTTCTAAAGTTAGTAATAGAAGTTTTAATAGATTTAAAATTTGAAACCGATATTCAAAAAAGGAAATCTCATCACTAATACACAATTATTTATATCAATTACTCAGAAAATACATTCTCGAAAAATGCGGAAATATTATCTATAGTCGTTATTCAACGAAGCTTGCTTCAAGTAATCAATAGTATTTGAGAAGTTCGTACAGTTAGCGGAATTCCATTGCACAGAATCCAGTTTGAATGACAAGTATAGGGGATAATACGTCTGAGGAAACAAAGCCCGGAGTCAAACCCAATCAGCATTTCGTAATTCATATAGCCACCCCACTTGGCGGTAATCGGATGTGCTATGACCGTAACGTTTATGGCAGTCGTAAATTATGAATTCAAGTAATAAATTTAACATTTTTCATTACCATATTCATGATATGAGAGTTTGATAGATAATAAAATATGTCATCACCAAGTAGGATATATATTTAGAATTAGTTAAACCGGCCATGGAATATAACAGAATAATTAATTATTAGTATTTAAGTTAGGTATACTCAAAATATATACCTTGTCACAGTAAAACATGTGAAAAGTAAAATAGAAAAAATTGAATGTATTGTATAACTTAACAAATTTTAAATATGGCATTAAAATGTTACTTATTGATAGTACTAAAATAACTCACCATATTTAGATATAATCAAGTCATATCCCATATTATAAATGAGTTTGAATTTTTTTATACGACTTGCCGATTAGATTTAAAACCTAGCAATAATATAATAATTATATATTTTATGAACCAAACTCTAAGATTATATTTATAGTGATAAAAATCAATAAGTTCTAGTAAAACACTGCTAATACTACTACTATAATAAAATAAAGAAATTATTGGCTAGCCTTCATATGTATGGAAATCATGGTTTAATCAGATATGGGAATTAATTTTCTTAAGCTAATTCATAGTTGGGATTGATATAAATATAAGAACCTTTCGAACACTGTTCGACGGTATCTTAATTCATGATGATAAAATTGATGATTCATAAGAATTGTCTTAGATATTTTTATGATGACAAAATATTGTCATACAATAAAAATGTATTACTTTCCTGTAGACAACAATAGAGTACTATGTAATATATTACATTTTGTTAATGTTCTGAAGTCCAATTATTTATATTTAATGAAAAACAATTTACACTTGTAAAATAAAACCTTTTTGATGTACAAAAACTTTCAATAAATAACATTTTTTGTTCCTTAAAATAAAGAATTTGGATATCTGGCATAAATATCTGGTACTGGAATGAAAAGCTCATGCCAAGAGAAAACATGAATAAATAACTTGCAGTTGAAATATATGACAATATTAAAACAATTTGCTTTTAAGCAATATAATATTGAAAATCCTATAGGTGCTGGATATATGAAAAACAACTTATTTAAGTTAGTAAAATCAATTTAGATATTTTCAAAAACTAAACAGCAACTATACTAGTTATACTAATGTCAGAGATGATTCAATAAAAATATTTCACATCAAAGGTTAGAATATTTAACTGGCATTAGAAAATATTTAAGTCTACTTAAAATATTGCATTATCAGTTATAATACCCTACAAAGATTCCTTGATACAAGCATGAAATGAATAACAAAAGAAACACAATGTTTAAAGATCTATCCACAAAGGACAGATAGGCAAAAAGTCAAACCAAATAGGTTTCATTTTTCATATGATTACAAAACAATAACAAAAAAAAAGTTTAGTGGAAACTTTTCGTAGTTATACTTGAAAGTTACACTTTAATAAATTCATGTAGCATTTAAATGGTGTTAAGCATATTTTTAATACAAATAAGTAAAGTTATTAAATGATTACCTTATTTAAAAATCCTCTCGATGACATCCAAAGCTTTGAAAGGTTTAAAAAATCTAAACACAACATAAAACTTAGGTCCACATAATTGTAAACTTCATCGTCTTCTTATATTAAATAATCACTTCAGTTCTTTTTACCGTGATGATAAAAAAAACTCATAATAATATAACAAAACATTTACTATATGTCTATGATACTGTTTTTCTGTCTACCGAGTCGTTTACAGATTTTGTCACTAGCACTCATAGTAACGCACCATAAACATCGGATTGAAGTGATGTCCGTGTAGCCATATACTTAGTCGATCTCATTCATTATACCATAAAACATAAACACTTATGTCACTAGTTCTTATTCTCCTCACTGATTAGAAATATTTTGAACAATAATTCTTGTATTTATAGAAGATTTTTTGTCCCATTAAATAATTAAAATATGTTTAAATAAGACCGTTACGTTAACCAGCGCCGGTCATTTCATCAATATTTTCTTGTTGCATAAAAAGAAAATTTGAAAAAGGAATATAATATTTTTTTGTACCCTATCGACTGTGTTTTCGAAATAAAGATTATTATTATTATTATGTTAATAATTATAAAACTTCAACTTTCATTAAATGTTAACCAAAGTATGTCTTTTTGTAAAGTTTTAAATATTTTTTTACTAATTATTTGTCAATTTCCTAAAAGGCACAATATAAACCAAATTATGAATACAATAGCCAATCTGAAAATATATTGACTTAATTGAACTTGTTCTACAATATCGGAGTCTAAATACATTTTTAATACAAATTTAATCATTCATCGATAAAATTTTGTTACATTCTTATACATATTACTTTAATTTGATGTATACTTTAAATATTGATGAGAGTTAAGACACTGTGCAATATTTTATATTGTTAACCTTTATATATTTTTATGGATAAATCGATATATTAAAAGACTTTTTGCATTTTTTACATTAATTTATTTTACTTGTGGTAGGGATTCGTAATACATTCTTTTAACATTTTGCAATACATATATATGTGTATGATGAAACAGTGTTTCAGTCATAGCCGAAAAAAAAAATTGTTGTGTCAAATTTAGCATGACACATGTCAATTTTTAAATATATATGCTTATTGACGTACAGGCGATGTATTCTTATTAAAATTATAACCTGAATCCTTAAGCGAAAACAACAAATTTATTAGAAATAGAAAACCATGAGTCTATTTCGCAATCTTTTGCGACAAACTCGTAGATTGAGCCTTCAGATTAATCCAAGCCGCAATGGGTATGGAGTTGCTGGTGTTAAGGGTTTTCATACAACAACAAAAAATCAAGATCTAATGGAATTTTTTGATGATAAAAAGAATTGGAATGAAAATAATATTAAGGTGGGCAGATCATGGAAATTAGACGAATTGAGAATAAAATCTAATACAGATTTGCATAAACTCTGGTATGTGTTGTTGAAAGAACGTAATATGCTGTATACCATGGAACACGAGTGTAATGATCAAGTTAAATTATTTCCAAATCCAGAAAGAATAGACAAAGTTGAAGAATCAATGAAAAATATAGAAACAGTGGTCAGAGAAAGAAATGTCGCTTATTATCAACTAGAGACAGGGGAAACTGGAGAACGTCCGGTAGAAGAGGTTGTAAACCTTTTTGGTTTGCCAGAGACTTATTCCAAGAAAGAGTATTTCCTACCAAAGTTTATGAACACTCGTTGGACCAAGACTTATTTAGATCATGGTTATATCAATAGTGTTGCAGTTAAAAAGTTTTATAGATTGTACAAAGAAAAACAATATAATGAAGAGCGTAAAGCACGTAATAGAGATTTTAATCATGTCCAACATCTTTTAAAACGTTTCCCCAACATGGATATGGATGCATTGAAGGCAGAGTATCCTAATGTAGATATTGAAAAGGCTAAGCGTACTAAAAAAGCAAGAGGTCATTATGTGCCTACATACTAAGATGAATAAAGAAGTCATTAGGAAAATAGTTTTTAATAAGTAATTGATTAATATAATAAATAAATCTTTGACAGAAATGTTTTCATTTTAGTTCTAACACTTTACTAAGTCTAACATCATGTTCTTTTGCAGATAATTAGTAATGAGGTTGTCTATATTTTATATGTTAATTCCACTTTATTGACATTGCTGCAGTTTATTGAGTACTAGTAATAAGTATTAAAACTGTGTTGACTTTTTTCCATTCACAACTGTTGATTTCAATAAAAGATAAGTTTTGTTGTTTCTTTAGTTAGCTAAGTAATAAAAAGACAATATAATAATCTTACCATTTTTTTTTTAAAAGTATATTTAATTATTTATTTAATTATTACATAGTAATTATTCACTCCTGGAGCATATAACAATATATTTATAAAAACATATAAAAAATATCTTCCCATTTTCTTTCAAAGCATACTGGCATGTATTGGTTTTGATTGAAATAAATTCTGATTATATCATCTTTCCTTTACTTCTTTGGTTTGTTAAATACTTGCAACTTTATTAGAATCAAACTTCATTCATAACAAAATAATTTAAAGCAGCAAGTCACAGATATTACATATTGTCTCATTTTATTGATTTATTCGTTGCTTTGTAACAAAATATGCATTCTATACATTTTTATATATTTAATAATCTCAGCTGTTATTAGACATGATCTTTTGTAGGCAACTTATATTAAATATGTATCTAGTGGCTTCTCACAAAATTATTTCATTTCATTATGCTTTTATGCTGATGTATATGAACAATATTAACATTTTATGCACTATCATGAAAGCTTGTTATAATTCCTTGAGGTCAATAATATTCATAAAAATATCTAAAATCTTTGGTATTTCCTTTTGCTTTTTAATATCCTGTAGTGTACAAATGAACTCTTTCAAATCGCTATATATCAATCTGTATGCTTTCACTGATGCCTCTGTCACAAAGGAATCAAATTTCTCAAAATACTGCACACCAACCTTAGAGTTCTCCTGAAGTGATTCACTGGAAAGTTTTTTTAGTGTTTTCTCCATCTTGTGAAGATGGTAGGCATCTAAGTATGCCTGAACTGTTATGTACAGAACTCGTGTAACAAAAGTCTGATCAGTGACAAATTTATCATTAACAGGCTTAAACTTTGGATATATAACATTGTTATTATTATTAGAATTATTTTCATTTTTGGATATCTTTATCAAATGTTTCAATATATTATCAGCAGTCAGTTGTTTATCATTTTCTATTGCTTCTGGTATTGTGAAATTTTGTGATTCTGGAAAGTTATTCCATTGTGATTCCTCTACAAAGTTTATAAGGGTCCTGATAATACTAGTTTTAATAGTCACTGAAAATAACATTTCACAATGTAACATCCCTATATAGTATCTCATACGTATTGGAGTCAATGTTTCTAATACTTTGACAATAGATGCTGGAGGTAATTCTGAAAATTTAAATGATAACATCTTAATGGTTTATAAATTTGCAAGGAATATGGTAAGCATACAGAGATTTTGAAAAATAAAGCTCCTTTTATGTGGAATATGAAGATAATAAAAAGTATTTATATAAAAATGCATTATTTGTTATTTGAAAAAGTCTGAAGAAAAATTATGTTATTCATGACTATTACCACACATAATTCCATGAAAAGTCAGTGCAAATTTTCTGCATTTACTTCCAATGTTATGATAATCATATGAGTGTTTTTCGGTTGAGTATAAAGTCTCCACAAGCGTATTGACCCAAAACTGAAATAAAAGTGTAAAAGGCATGAGAGTTAGTTGTCAATACAGTTCATTGTTAAGAATTTTTTCAAAGTAATACTCACAAAAGTAACTTACATTCATTATTTTGATATATTTTTCAGGGTAATTAAGATGTATGAAATAAATATAGATCTTTATTACTTGCTGGCATGGTTCATTCATTTCAAAATTTTTTGAATCATCTAAATCCAATATTTTTGTAATCAATATCTTTTGGCGCCTCATAGATATTTCACCTTTTAAGAGTCTGCAAAAGATAACAGAACTATATTTAATACAACATTAAGGAAAACATAAGCAAGATTAGTACACTGTTAAACATTTATAGAGAATTGTATTTGAGTGTTGTTATTTTAAGGAAAATATCAACTATGATGAAATATTTATTTTTAGTCTATTTCTCATGTATATGTTATGAATACTTAAACTAGCTCATGGTACAATATCTGATAGATGCCACACAATGGCTGATCTTATAAAATTAGTTTTAAGTTGTATAACCTTGAATGATAAATTGCTAAATCAAATCCTATTAATTCAGTCAAACTATCCATAACTGCCATTAGTCTGTCTATTCTATCCGTTCTCTTTAACATCTCAAAAATTTCTAATCTTGATTTTTCCCAATGTACACCTTGGATAGTTTGTTTCATTTCTGCCGGAATATGCTTTTGTTTATCAAACAAAGGTTCATTTTTGCTATCCACATGAAGTTCACTTTCTAGTCTATTAAGGCAATACTGAAAAATTCCATTATGACTTCCAAAATTATTTCTATCCGTCTGTGTGTTTTTTCTTAAGTCCATGGGGTTTCTTAGAAAATTAAGATAACATTTTCTAATGGGTTCAAAAGAACATGGAGGGTGTATTCGTATATTCAAATACAAAACTTGCTGACATTTACCAACAAGATGCATAATTTCATAATTTGATGATTGGTCTTCATGAGCATTCTAAAAAAAGGGTACATATCTGTAGAAAGTTACGGGTATGGTGACTAAGATTTAAGTACAAGTATATTACAGAATATATTTACCATCATAATTTCTACAATATTTTTAAGTACATTCTCTGAAAGATAACTTGTTTCTGATATGCTTAAAAAACAGATTTCAAGAGCTTCATACCACTTGTGTGATCTGAATTCTACCATAAATATTTCTTCAGCATCTGGAGCAATTTGCTGTATCTATAAAATAAATTATTTTTATGAAGAATGTATAATTGTTTAATCTGAAATTGTCATGAATTAAAATTAAATTAAAAAGTGCACTAGCATCAAAAGGGAGTTAATTAATGATGTAAAGGGTATAACAGTTACCCTTATTACCTTACCTGTGTTTTATTATGTTTACAATTTTGTATACATATGGGTAATTGAGGTATTTGAAAACGATTAAGAAGATCTTTGTGAGCATTTTGGGTAACTAGAGCACACGCATTTATAAATACTTTAGTTTGTATGGAATGGTCATTTTCAGATTTGGCTTTCTTGATGTTTTGGTCTTCGTTTTCATGTTCCCTCTTAAATGCTGAGGAACGCGGGGTGATACTCAACATTTTCTTTTTCATATTTTGCATATTATTGAATCGCTCACTTGAAGAGAAACTTAATGTTATCGTATATGACGCGAGGATATTGTAAAGTCCGTGACATTAATTTTATATGTGAGGTTATAATTAATTTGTAGATTGTTAATCGCTTTCATAATAAAATTCACACTATGTAACTAAAGTGATATAATTACTTGTAAGCAAACACAATAAATAGCTATTTCACCGTTTGTTAAGTTGTAACCAAGAACTGATTGGTCCTTTAGATAGAGATTAGAGAGCAAATAGTTAAGACAATACTATAAAATGAATGAAATTCAATTATTCCTTTAAGAATATATTAAAAAACACTAATTTTTCTTAGTTTATTATAGTATATCACGTTAAAAATGTGATGATCGTGTATAACATTAGTAGTGAACTGTGATAATAATACAATAGCACTCGTCTACGTGATAACTATATATATGACAACAGTTGTCAGACAACTCAAGTGGCAAGGCTCACACAGCACACTACCGCAATTTTATATCAATATGCCAGATGTTCATATTAATTGTGATGTATTATTATTAATATAAATGTTTGATCATTTGCGAATATTTATAACTTTGAATATTTGGTAAAATCTTGGTTATCTTTTAAATCCAGTTTGGGTACGAATTTCTTTCTTAGATTATTTTTATTTTTTCTGATAACGTATTTTTTATATATTTTTCAAAAGTTAATTGTAGTCGCAGGGAAACTCTTTTTACGAGTCGTCCAACTGGCCTTGGTGGGGCCCGAAGGGATGTGTGTATTTGGATATAGTACCTAATCAACATGTTATTGTTAAACAATTGAATTGTTTATCGTTTTGTGTGTCCCATATAATAGAATTTTAGGTTGTTAAGAACTAAATCAAAAATATATCTAGTTTTAGGTGTATTTTGTAGTACTGCCTATATCTTTGACATGTACGCCTAAAAAGCTATTTCGACTTATAATGCGCTATTGTTCGGAATTTATCATTATATTAGATAATCAAACATAAAGTATATCTGTTAGTAAAAATCAATAAACTTTTACTCGCTACTTCGCATGATAAAATTTAGACTTATGCCAAATATTGTAAGATTAGGGTTTTGTTTGTCAAAGCTTATTAATAGAACGAAAGAAATATGAAGAACATTCCAAAAATAATATATTTATTAAGCTATCCTAAGTGAATAATTTCCAAATGAACGAGGACTTCGACCAGTAGTTCCTACCAGTTCCTTGGAACAGGACTAGGATGACTTACAACAAAATCATGGTCCTTCTGCACTTCCTACTACTCAATGAAAATAAATTAGGGCTAGAAAAGGGGCAAATACAAGTCTCCAAAAATAAATAAATCAACTTATAGGCGCACGTAATCATGCTCAGTTGATAACCGCTTCGAAAGAAAGACGGAAGAAGTTTTAAAGGATTTAGGATTCGATTATACGTTTTCATTTTATATTTTTGTGTCATCAAGTAAATTTATTTTACTTTATAATGACAATTATATTTAAAAAATATGTGTCACTGAAAAGGGATTTTAAATATATAGAGTCCCCCTTATCCTTTTGTGTCTTGCATCAGCTTGCATTTAGGCACATGACACTGTTGTGGAACAGTCAGATATGTGGGATCTGAAATCCTAGAAGTTGGCCAATTCCGCAATGTAATGACAAATATGGTAATCATGGAACCCAATAATAAGAGATTAAGTTAGTAGGTATAGTTCTAATGTATTACTCAAGTTTCTATACATCTCACTATAATATGTTTTTAACAAAAGAAGACGGAAGGACAAAGATATTAATGATTTATGTATAGATTTTTTGCTTGTATCTAAGTTACGTTAATAAAAATATTTTCTTCAAAGTAAACTGAAATAAGGAAAAATGGAGAAGAAAATAGAAAAGACATTTGACAGTATCAATATTCTTACATATTAGTATATTAGTTTGTAGGTGGTAGAGACTAACTGTAGTCATGTAACTACAGCTCAGACTCTGGCTGGCTCGACCGGGGAAGTACCACCCTCTCACAGAAGTCCGGCGAGGCGATAGCCTTTAATGGCTGCGTTTCGTTCGATGAGTGAGACCACCGGTTGCCTTTAACCTATTCCCACCTTCTCCTGACATTCCCTTATATCCACCCTTCCCTATTCCTAAAAAAGTAACGTTGACAACGCATCCGCAGTAGAGATGTTGTGAACGTCACATATTACGTTATTTATTTGAATGTCTATAATATTTGAGGAATTGATGAATTGAGGAATATTGTTATAACTAGAAATTAAGATCACTAACAACAACATTAAGCCATAACTTTTGTTGAGATTTTTATATGAATTTATACAGGAAATTTCAAAATTTTAAGCTTTTGAAAATGTTCTGTACGCAATATTTCGTAAATGCGCAGTAGGTACAGGAATATCGAATTATTGATTCATAGTCTGCTGCAATTCAATAAATCCACTATTGCCAGTAATTTCGGTAATACGCATAGGCTGGTATAAAACCTCAATAACAGTTGTTCAGTCATCAGTCCCGCGGGGTCCGTTGAGAAGTTTATAATATAATATTGATTGAATTTCTAAAATGACAACTGTTTTTAAGGTAAAGTAACTGTTTATGATTTCTTTGTGTAATAAAACGTTTTTCAATATTTAATAAATGTATAAAATCTGTTAGTCACTTATTAAATAAAATAATTATAAACTCTATTGTAATGTGTCGGCTTTTGTTACATTTCATTTTAATAACATATTTCTTTTTATACTAAGTTCGAAAAAGTAAACAAAATCTCTAACAGTTTCAAAATTTCATTGTCAGTGCTTTTTGGTCATCATGATCATTGACCGTGAAGGTCGATCTTTCTCGGCAGTCGATATTTTTTTATCTTTTTGTTGTCTAGTAAATAGGACTGTCGTATTTAGAGTTTAGACGCAAGCCTTGAAAAATAAAAAGTAAAATGTTCTTTTCCAACGATGTGGTGTGTAATATGAATACGACTTAATACAAGTGGAATAGCTTAGGATTACAGTAAATGAGAAGTAACTTACCCAACTTTATTTATGATCACCACGTTCTTGTTGAAGTATTTTTAACACTCCATTAGGTATGTAGAAAAAAAAATAATATGATAGGAAAATATAAATAAATACGTGAACATCGTGTTTGAATTTTATTTATTACCACAGACCTCCCGAAGGCTTTAATTCGATGCAGAACTAAAGTTGTATATTTTTTTATAACCAATAAACGCCATGGTTATTAATAGGTAAATATTTTCAGACATTGTTGTTATTAGCTGCAACATCAGGCGCCTTAACAGTTCAAGCTCCGGGTGGTTATTCATATAACCGTTTCAGTGGTCCAGTCAGCGGAAAGATTGTGGAAGTTCAGGTATCCCCTGCCGAAGGAATCCCCGCACAGCAGCATGCCCAATATGGATACGACCACAAAACAGGGAAGATAAATCCAGAAACGGCAAAGTATGATCGTTTGAAAACGGTGGATTATAAGGTACAAAAAGTCTTCAATTCTTATCCTAATATCGCTCGTGAATTTTAAAGTTTAAAATTAATTTTCCAGATCTCCTAGATACGTTCAAGAAATTGTTATATAGTGTTATTTTTTCATTCGCAGGCTAAACCAGACTATCACTTCTCATATGGAGTCCAGGACCCACATCACGGAAACCAGCAAGATCACGTCGAATCTCGTGATGGTGATGTTGTTCGCGGCGAATACTCTCTTGTTGAACCTGATGGCTCTATCAGAGTTGTGAAATATACAGCTGACCCCAAAAACGGTTTTCAGGTATTCGTTTGATTTATTTCTACAATCGATTATATTTGGGGTTATAGATTTAGTAAGAAATATGTTTTTACTATGTCCTACATAGGCAATCGTTCTAAATTGATTCAATAACCTTTTTAACATTTAAAAACGCTTATTATTACCCAGTAAATTGTCAAGGTGAAACATTCAAATAAGTTTTATTATTTAGCTAATAGAACTATTAATTCAAAATTTTCAGGCCATAGTCGAAAAGAAGCCGGGTGGCCAACCAAATGCTCCAGTGCATTATGCAAAGAAAGAACAAACTTATCAAGAACCTGATTACTAGTCATAGTTAAAATAAGTGTTACTATTTGAACGTTGTTTATTATATATTTATTTGTTTTGTTGTAAATGTTAATTAGGTTTACAACCAATAAAAATAATGGAAATATTAATGTGTTTGTATATTAACCTTTTATTGAATTAACAAAAATTAAAAAGAAACATAATATAAATACAATATAAAAATAAGCATTAACTTGTTATTTTATTAATGACGTCAACAGAAAATGGAAACACAATTGTATGTGTTTTATCTCCGGCGATCATATTGAGCGATTGCAGATATCTGAGCTGAAAAAAATCGTACAATAATTGTGGGTATTAAATTTACATAAATTATTTAAATTTTCATGGTTAAGGGCTCGTCTTAGTTATTTAATTAAGGGATGTAAGTAATTTATCTATCAAGATTTAACCTCTCGCCTTTTAGTTATTTATAGTAATAATTTGAACTCAATTATTTAGAAACTAACTTGCATGCACATTGGGTTATCCATTAAAATGTCTGTAGCTAGTTGAAGGCTTTTGGTTGCTTCGATTTCTGATTTTGCAACTATTATTTTAGCATTTGCCAATCTCGTCGACTCAGCTTCAGCCGCCATTGCTTTTTGCAATTGTAGAGGTAGACTTATGTCTTTTCTAAATAAATAAAATATTGCATTGCGGGCACCACAATATTAATTTTATATTTCTCAATACTAGTTATGCAGTACTACTCTACTAGAATCGCTTGTTAATTTCTAGAATTAAGTCTACGTAAGAATTATTGTCGTATTGGACATATACACTGATTTCAAAATGTTATATTTTTATATTTTTGCTAAAATAAAAATATATTTCATTGAATATCGTTACGAAGGACAATTACATTTCTACTCTCACGATTTTGATTCCCCAAGCTACAGTAATATTCTTCATTAGATTGAATACTTGGTGACTGACATCAGGACGGCTTGCCAATAATTCTGCGAGTTTTCTCGTTCCAAGGGCATTACGTAATGTTGTGGCAGCTAGAAAGTGTGTGGATACTCTGAAGATAACAATTGTTTAATTATTATACATTTAAAAAATATAAACAACGAAGTTAAAAAAATAATGTTGGCCTTGTTTTGTGTTTTCTTCAGACTTCGGGCGATTATTATTCAACATACATATTATGTACATATCAGTTACATTAATTATTAATACCAGTAGGTACCTACTCTTCACTTTTTTTAGCAAATATAAAACGAAACAGTTCTTAAAGTTGTAATAATGATAATTTTAATTATTATTAACAAAAAATTTTTTTACTCTTACTTTTGGTAAATTTTTACATATAGGATTTTTCAAAGTAAACAAACAATATCCAATCTTACTTGTAGTCGGTTACCCCAATTACTGCTAGCACGGGATCGACTATTTTGTAAAAAACAACAGCGTCAACAGAAACAGTCAGTGAGTCTTTAGTTAGTGCCTGAAAGTCAATTTTAATTTTTATATTTAGACCAAATTATGAAGAAAGAAGCAACAAGAAAATTTATACTTACATCTTGATGTGGTACTTCGTAACAAACAGTTCTTAAATCAATAAAATGTACGGCATCTACGCATGGAAGATAAAAAACCAGACCAGGACCGAAAGGTTGATTCTTATGTATTTTTCCGTTTCTGAGAATAACAGCTTTTTCAAATTGTCGAACCACCTTAAAGTTTTAAATTATACATTTGATATATGTGACACATTATATATTTGATGAGTGTAATACGTGAGTATTGTACCTACCAGAAATATTACGAGGAGCGACAGGGGAAACAATAATATAGCAAAAATTATTGATATTATTACCAAGAGCTTCTCGATGAAATTGTCCTTTTCTAAAAAATAAGAAGGTTGTATTCTTTTTCAATTACATTATATGTATCTCACATGTTCAGTAAGTTTATAGAAATGAATCGCAGAAGAAAATGGTTAGCAAATCCGAGAAAATAAGGCTAAGAGAGCTATAATTTTAAACTAAAATTAGCACTCAATCAAATGATTATTAATTTGTGATAAAAGAAAAAATTCTCAAGAACATTGTTGATTCCTATGATCTAGCTTTAGAGCTCTGAATAATTTGCTCAAGAAGAAATATATATTTAGTAAGGATCTTCCAGTTTTTAAACAATCAGTTACCAATACTTTATTTTTTACCTTTCGTTATATTGTGTTGCACACTTCTGATATTATCGATCTCTTGTTCTGGTAACATGTTTATTTGTGAATGAGACTTTGAAGAATCTTGTTTCGTTTTGGTTTCTTGGCTGGCCCTTATATTAAGTTTATCTTTTTTATCCATTAGGGTAAATAAATTTATTAAAGCAAAAATTGATTCTTATCGAAACATTGTGTCAAGTTATATTTTTAATATTTCATAGACATTTCTAGAAAGTCCGTTAGCAAAAAGATAAAATATCAAAAAGTATCTGTTGAAGTAAAAATTTATATAAAAAATTTTATATTCGAAAATAATTCCTTCGTTTTTACAAGCATATTGAGCATTTGAGAAGTGAAAAATTTTCTAAAGTTTTTATGTAAGATAATTAATTTATAAGTGTGGATTTCTTGGTAAGATATGTTATTTGTACAGATATTATGAACGGGTTGATATTATAAAATTGTACCTACCTTTAAACTTACCATTGTGTTAGATTAATTGTTACTTGGGATATCGATGGGAAAAGGGAAAAATATTGATGTGGACTGTTGAGATGCAATGGTGTTTAGAGTTTGTAGGTATCTTAACTGCAAAATTTACAGTCGTTAGTTTAAAATACATATTACATAATATTCCTAAGAATAAAATTCATTACTAGTATAGTTTTTGGTTTCTCCATCATAATTTTCCCCGCGTCTCGAAGGTTTTCTGCAGCCTTGATTTCACCTTCTGCTTCTATAATCTTAGCTTTAGCTATTCGAGTTCCTTCTGCCTCCGCTGCCATTGCCTTTTGCAATTCGTACGGTAGAACCACATTTTTTCTATATTAAAGTTTTATTATATGTTTATCTTTTCAATTTTATATCTTTTATATATATTTTTTAAATCGATCCTTAGTAGTTAAATCGAATTGATATTTTAGTGGCTATAAGAAATTGTTATGAATAAAGAGAGAATTGAAGGTCATATAAAATCTTAATGTTATTACATTTCCACGCGTTCCACTTGAACGCCCCACTCAGCTGTGCCTTTATCAATTTCTTCACTAACCGCTTGACTGATCGCTATACGATTTGTAAGCAGATCTGTCAGTGTATATTGTCCCAAAATATTTCTTAAAATTGCTATAGCGAGCAATTCAGTTGCACGCCTGCAATAATAATTTCTAGTATTGAAAAAAGTCTGCAATAATACCTAATAATTTATAATGTTGAAAAAAAAAAAGAACAAGAATAGATTGATAAATTGAAACTACTCACTTGTGTGAATGGACGTTGAGCAAGCAGTTCAATGGATTTATAACATGAAAATATACCACGGCGTCGACTGTTACAGTAACAGAGTCTTTTGTTAGAACCTAAGGAAAAAATTGTTTCACAATACATATCCATATTTTATAGACAGAACACTTAGCCAAGTGTAATAGGTATACAAATGGATGATTCATATGTGGTACAATACGAGTGGGAATGATAAAATACCTCTTGAGGCAGTAAGTTGAAAGATTGGGTTCTGATATCGATAAGTGAAACTATATCAGTGCACGGAACAACCCAAATGATACCGGGCCCGGCTGGTGAATCACGACGAACTCGTCCAAAACGTAAAATAACTGCTCTTTTGTACTGATTTACAACCTGATTGATAACAACAATAAAACCTAATGAAATTTTTCTTACGAAGTTTTATGTAGCAGAAGAACAAGTTTAATAATAGATTGATTCGATAAGCTCAATTGAAAATAAAAGATGTGTTGAAAGGAGAGTCTTGTTTCCACGAATTGCGCTTTTCAATAATGATTTTTTTATAAAAGTAACAATTTATCTTTTCAAAAGAGACAAAACATTCGAGATGATATCTTTACTACATTTTAACCATAGATGTTCATAACACTCTTTATTTTATTTTATCTTCTCTTTCTATTGCCTTTGTATTTTTCGAGAAAGGACAACAAGGGGTAAGAAACTCAAAATTATAACAAATTTATTAATACAAAGTAATCAATATAGTTTTTTCTCATTTTAATAGTAAGGATTTAGAATGTTTTTACTTAAGCTTTCAGCATCTTTCCTTTACAAAGTATAAAAAAAAAATATTTTATATTTCCTTAAAAATACTAGTCTTTTGTTAATAAATCCAGACAAAACACTTAAATAATTTAAAACAAATCTTACCCTAAAACAACAAAGCAAAGAAGGAGGAAATATGATAACCATTAATATAGCTATTATGATAAAAATCTTTTCAGCAAGTGGCTCTTTTTCTTCGTCTACAAAAAAATGAAATAAAAAAGAAATATGTTTTAAATATATTTTAAATGGAATCCTTAACAAACTATTAAACTTACTTGTCACGAATGCTGAATTTTGTATCATTCTCCTTTATTTTAAAAAAATATACAAATGCAATAAATTACAAACAATAAATAAACTTTGAAACTGTCAATATGACAATATTTAATTTGTAAACAGTGTGTATTCGTTTGATTTTTTATAATTTTTCTCTTAAACAGAGAAATACCATACAAAAAGTCTGAATATTTGTTTAAAAAATATATTTTCAATTAAAACACACATTTTTTGACTACAGTTCATTATAAAGATATGTATATGACTAGAGTAACTTTTTTCTATTAGAAAAATTAATATAAATAACATTAACTGAAAAAGAATTATACAATTTTAAAGTTACATTGTAACAAATCAAGATTTTTATTCTTTTGATTCAAATACGTCAAAAAACTATCTTTAAAAATTAATGTTAATTTTTTAAAATTTTTTAAAATTAATTTTAATAGAATCTAATATTTTCTGAGATTTTTATC